AGACGGCCACAGGTGAGGCTGATCAGCACCTCATTGAAGGCCGACTTTTGTGCCCGCTGTGGCGGTGGAGGCGGCAGCGGCCACTGCTGTAGCCGTTCCTGTCGACCCCCAGTAGTCTCTGTGCTGAAAAACTCGGTGAAAATGCCCGTCACCAGAGTCCACATTGTGTCCGTAATGGCCAGACATCTGCCTGGTTCAATGCCGGCCTACAAAGACCGGGGGGCGATTAGAATTGGCGGCGGAAAAAGGCTACAATCTTGACAATCAACTAGAAGTCCTGCTTTATAGTCTAGGTAAGGGTTTACCCAGCGAATATGCGATTCGCGATTAGGGGTTCAGGGCTCCGACAGTTCAGATCAGTTAGGAAAGCATGCGTGAAAACGGCAGTACAAACATATACAGAACATTCGAGGATAGTATCGTCAAAAGCAGTTGGTTTGTAATCCAGCAAACCTGGCCTGTAAGCACGAACTACCTCGGGTCACATAAAAAGTGGGAGATACAGGGACCAAAGTATAAGATTATAAACGGAAGGGAGAAGACGGATTACAAGCAAATTATGGGAAATTGTCAAGGAATCCTTGACTTTCCATGTCTTGATTTATTTCAAGGTAGTTCCTGAACCTTTTCCAGCCGGTCTACCGTGATGTCATTTTGCGTATTCGAAAACAAATACTATATTTTTTTGTACGGAAAGCCTTCCGTAAGATGTACTTCCGATTTGCTCGCGTTGCTCAAAAATTTAAATTTCAATGAACTGGCACCAGGGCCCTGTTGACAGCATTGGAAAATTAACTGCCCCAAAATGACAGTATGGATCAGTGCCCTTAAGAATTTCTTTTCTCTGTGAATAGAACGAAAAGAGGCTGGCTACTGTCGGGGGCTCTGTTTTACTTCAGAGTAAAGTAACTTCTGCCCAAAGAGGTCCCATCAGAAGTCCGAGGTGTCGCGTGAGTGTTAGTGACAACATTGTCGATAGCGCGGAAGCGTCGGGCCACGTGGTAGATTCGACGGTCAAATAGGAAAGAGGGATCAATTGGAGATGCGCCTCTAGAACAAATGACGTCTGATTGTGCTCTCGTCTTGTGCCAACCACCTACGCCCACTCCCGCCTCTGGTCCCTTTTATAACAGCTAACTCAAGTGGGAGATAAGAAGAGAGTGCGGTAGATGCTGCGCAAGTGTATCACTAGACGAATTCATGCGCATGTGCCTACCTTACTGTGGCATAAACAGTGAGCATCTTCGGCGACGACGCTCGAACTGTAGATGGCGGGCGTGAGTGAGTCGCTTCGGACCAGACTGTCAGTCATTCTATAATTCTTTATCGATACACCTGGCGTAATACGATCTGTCCCAGTGCTGGACAAGAGGGAAAGCGGGGAATGCCCTCAAGGAGAACTTCTCCCACCTCTTCTGCCCCCTGCGGTCACTGGCGTTTCGTGACACACGCCCCCTGGAGCTAATCAAGGCAGAGCCGAACGCGAATTTGGCGAGGGGTCCGGCCCGCAGGAAGGGGGCGTGTTTGGATGGAAAAAGGGGCTGCTTGTGAGACACGATTGGTATTCAGTTCCCACCGTTTATAGTAAGCGAAAAGCAACCGAAGATGAGTTAATGAGTAAACAAATGCGAAGCACGGGCCGAATGTACACAAAGCTTGCAAACAGAAGAAGGGACATACAATGAGACAGTCGATGGACAATAGACCAATAAACCAACCAGAAGGCAAGCGTCCACAAAGTCCAAGCAAGTAGCTAGGCGAGAAAAGGCGGTTTTCAAACGAGCAGCCGCCAATGCAGCCGCCAATGTAGGTTGCGAACTCGACAGGGAGCCGTAGCGCGGAGGATTTTTGTCTGCTGACAAGCCATAGTTCTCGGCCGAGATCGAGTACTCCGCAGACGCCACAATCGCGTTTACGACTGGCCAAACGGAATACTCATGCTGCCAGACAATGAGGCCGAGTTCTGTTTAAAAGAAAGAAAGCTGTCCTACAGGCGCAAGTTCCTCAGGAGGAAACTGAGTTAAGAGTGGGTAAAAGAGGGGAATAGCCGGGCGCACTGTACATACACACGGACTTACCTGGTTTGAGGATGCTGCGGGTGCCGGGAGAAAGACTGACAGCATACTGGTTGAAGCCCTTACGAGCCAAGACATCCGTTGGGAGGGCCCAGTGCTGACGCAATAGCACGGCCATATCCTGTCTACGGGTCTCGCCTCCCTCCACTTCCTCATTTTTGACAGGGGACAAGGCAGCGGCGATCTCATCGGTCAGCGGTTGAGCAAAGTAAGGAACAGAGGAGATGAGCTGGGCAACCAGTTCGACGGTAGCATCGTTCCGCTCCTCGGTAGAGCTCAGCAACGCCGTACAGAGGTCCAGGAAGTTGAGGTCGTAGGGGAACCCTATGAGCAAACAGGGATAGTACATAGCAAACACTTTTTGAAAAGTGGAAAAACGCGAGGAAACTTTTTTGGATGCGGCTTTACAAATGTTGGTCGATTGATTGGGACACATTTTGCCTACAGCATTAGAACTTTGGTGATGAGACGTAAAATACTGCGACTTTTATGATGCGGAAAAAATAGCCGGTGGTAGTTAATACCAAGGAGTGGTAGCTTTAAACACTTTGAAATCTTCTAACTATGAATAAGAATACATTTTGTAAACATTTGCGTCAGAATGAGGTTGTGTTCAAGAAATGTGCAACTTTGAGGCTGTCGAGTTTTTCACAGTCGACTCCAACGAAATATGTATGAGTGGCAAATATCGAGTTAAGTGACACAACTCACGAAACTGCATTGTAGAAACTAGGATCAGTAGCGTGGGGTACTGCGATTTTTCTTTAGTAGGTTAACCTGAGGCAAAGTAAACCCGTTGTTGAAGAAATAGTTTTAAATCTGTTTTATTTAAGGATAACGGGCAAATTTCGGGCAGAACCGGATGTTTCCTGATATCCGAGTAATTTCTTATTTTTTGATTATCCTTGTTTAAGATCGCTTGTTTGTGCAACTGTAGGGAAACAGCAAAAGAACTAAAAATCTTTTCAACTAGAGCTAACTTCTCATGTACGAAAATCGGGTGACGTCAGGTATGAGGAATCGCATTACTTTCGAGAAACGTGTGGCGGATTGAGCTTTAAAAATTGTAATTTATAAATCAGTGTCTTTTTTTCCGTAAAATGCGAACGTTTCCAATCATATATGAGAGATAGCCGCGACATGCTGCCGCATTTTTCTGTCACGTCAAGTAAGAAAACAAAGCAAGTCCTGTGGGCAGTCAACGGACACCATAATGTTGCAAGATAATGCCTCTGTTCACGGCTCAAATTAGGTATGATTCTGATATAGCTAACGACTATAAAATAATTCTTTGGCGACAGTTAGACCCTCTGCTCGCGGCCTGCGAAACATGTTCATTCTTGTCAACGGTCCGAACCTCAATCCTATCCAAAAGCTCATTGAACTAATAAACAAATTAGGCAATACAAAAAACATTTTTAATGCAGAAAAAAACTGGAGTTCGTGATAAGTAATTGTAGAAACCAGCCTGCTATTGATAACTTGGTTTCTTGGTCTGATCGACTTACATGTGAGTCGCATAGAGATTATAGTGAAAGGTTAACTTACTCTGGGCAACGCTTTCAATTGTGGAGAGAACACGGGAGCCAATGTTGAGACTACCCATGGCGGATGGATCGGCGGATCTGCAGAGCATGCCCAAGGATCCAGAACATTGAATCAGGGTTGAGAGAGCCTTTGATAGGATTTTGATGAAAAGGTTTTGGTTGGTCGGACGTCCGAGATCCGTGTCCAGAGACTCCAAAGTGATTTGTTTAGCCATGAATGTGAGCAAGTCGAAGGTTGCGAGGTGTTCACAAAGGCCTACCACGCTCAAATTGTCAGGCAGGTGAAAGAGTTCAAAAGCTCCTAGTGGATGCAAATGTGTTGGCTCCTGTCGAATGGAAAAGCATAATAATAGTGGCGCGGAAAATGGTGAAGGCTTAAAAGTATTCCTGTTTGGATAAAATTTACGACACAGGGACTATAGTCGGCTAAAGTTTTCAGAGAAGACTTTAGAGGCTGCAGAACTGTCATTTTTCAAGACCACTAGAAGACTAGTCATCCCGGCTCAGCTGCTACATTCATGAGCATTTATATAGTCTACTGCATTGGGCATTTAATCAGTAGTAAGACGCACATCTTTATCAGGTTAACGAAAGCAGCGCAGAACGTGGCTGAATGGGACTGCATTGCTAGATTCCACGGTTAAGGCGTTTATTCGTAGATTACCTCTGGATAGGGAATTCAGACAAATAAAATAAGCCTTCTCAGTGTCCATCTATTTCTCTTCTCAAATTCAACGAACGGCTACCTTCGTCACGTACAGCTACTAAGTTAAATGGCTGAAAAAGCACCCGATTGTCCAGTTTGGGCCAAAGAGGAGCGTCTGGAACTCGAGACTAAAGCGTATTGAAAAAAAAACATTTCTCTGATGATTAGATCCAACAATTACCTTCCAGTTTTTACTACGCATTTAGGTAGGGTCCTTGGCTCCCACAACAGACGACGCATTAGATGCGCTGAACTAAAACGTGAGTTAGGTTGGCTTATGGCACAATAACATGCGAAGATGTGCTGATGGCACGCCTAGGAGTAGACTCTAGACGACAACACCCCGCACCCGATAGCGGAGAGCAGACTATAGTATGGGAAAGGTAAGGAAGAGTGAGACCGACTCTGTAAAATCTATCTCCACAGTAGTTCAGAGCTATAAACAATCTGACACGTTATAATATATCACTGTGTGCTGAAATATGTGGTTTGGCAGGCTGTCAACGCACGGGGCAACTCAATCCCTCCTAGGACTGAGTCAGGCCCAATGGCTCCTATGGCCGATGCCTGCGTGTGTGGTACGCCTAGGGAGATGCAAGGCAGTGCGTCCGATCCCGCTTCTGGTCGTTCTGACACTTACTTGCCATCAGGCTTAGGTGGGTGAGGGAGGGAGGAGAAAGTGTGAAGGATGCTGTGCAAGTCTACATCACTATAGACTAATCAACGTGCAAGTTACCGTCCTGTGTCCACTCCATGGAGGCATACATTGGACATCATCGTTCGAGGTGGTTAAACTAATAGGTACTACTACTAATCAGCATGGTATGTAAGAATAGCGTGCCAACCGTTATATTTACAGTTGATTTGCTGAGTTTCAGTGAGGTTATGTAGGTTGAATGCTGACGCTTCTAATTCTATTAGATTTAAAATAGGATTTGCACATCAAGGTGGAAAAAATAACGAACCATGGGTTTAAGAGGTTCTGTGTTGACGAGCAAGTCAAGTAGACACTGGAAGACATTCAGCTGGCTGATTGCCGTTACAGCATAACGTGACGCCGAGACAATTAGGTCGTCCTGTTCCTGATCCGCTTCCTGAACGGGGAAGGAGGAGCCGCAGACGGCAGCAAAAAGAAGAAAAATGCTGTCCACCCTCTGACTGCCCAAGTTCGAAACGCTAGTCAGTAGGCGGGAAATCAAGCGTGTATCAGAGAGGAAGTGTTCCGATTCACCTCGAGTATCGCTGAAAGTAACAAGCAGCCGTAAGAAGCACCCCAAACGCAAAAGTTACCCTTCTGTTGTGAAAAGACTTTCCGCGTCCAGGCAGGCAGCACGTATTAAAATGAAGCATTGGAGGCTCCTGTGGAAAGACAAAAAAACATCGGATTTAGACATTTTCAAATCGTAACCCCAAAATATGTATTAACGATTGAGCTGAGTGTTGACAAATTAAGAGGATGCCAACAGAGTGATATTCGCGCTTGAAACGTATAAAACAAATAGTTAGTAGTAGTTAGTAGTTAGTAGTTCTGCTATTTATCCAGTCAGAGCACCAGCTAAAGAACCTTGCCGTTGTATGAATCAAGTGCAAGGGGGTCAGTTTATTTGTGGTCCTTCCCAGCGTCTCTCATGCGTTTTGTCTAACAGTAACAGGCAAACTTGGAGACAAATTATCTGTAGAAGTGAATATAAAACCAAATAGTATAATGATGGTGCTATAATACAACAGACTACTACAGGCTCTTCATATTACAAATGAGAAAGATAAGCAAACGAATGCAACTGATTCACCTTATACGGTCGACAAGTCTCCGATTACTTGGAGAAATTAGTAGAAGTTCCTTCTTCGAGTAGAACGAAGTTTTCTGAAAGAATATGTAGAATTCGCGTAAGAGAAAAGCTATGTTTGAAAAACATCGTTCGTTATCATAAACCTTTAAATAACTAATTGAAACACGTTAAAGTTCACGTAAAAATAAGTTACGTAAAAATAAACTTATTACCCAAAATATGTCTAAAAGTTTTGAGAAGAGCGCCGAATTCTCTTGCGAATTGGGAGAATTGGGTAGTCCAGAGACGCCAATAAGAACAGCTTCCAGTGTAACAGTGGCTTCCTGTAATTTCTGGCAAATCTGCGATTCCGTCGACGTATCCGGGGGTGTCTAAGAGAAATGGGGAGGGAGCCAATAAAATGCAACATGATATATGTTATAGGTATTTTCATAGGTCCGGACTTAAACTACCATAATTAATTGCGAGTATGGTTTGTTTGGTGGGATAAACTCAAGGTGGTATAAATAAGGCAAACAAATAGGCATAAAAACGAGGTAACTAAGCTTTAAGCAAATGCTCTAAGACTGTGCAAAGATAGAGAAAAACATCTTCTAGTCTGCGTCCAACCTACAAGCGACGCTTAGCACGAAAAACAGAGTAGCACCTCTGCTGGCTTCGCGCTTGACTCCCTTGCAGTTTAGAAAGCAAAATGTTGGGCAAGTTGATATAAAAGTGGATATAAAAAACACGTCTAGAAACTACCAAGAAAATCTGGGAAATGACGACTCGACTAAGGACATCACAAACTCGTCATAACCTAGGGGGCTAATGCGCATGGCTTACGGCTTTTTCACTATAATTTGTATACTTTTGGGCAAAACTTACTTGTGTGTGGTAGAAAGACGTCTTGAGTAGGTCTTCAGTTTCACCATAAAGAGTATCAATGTGACTAATGAGCTGAAAAGGGAAATGATGCAAATAGCATGCAAACCATGTGAACAAGTTCTTGGTGAGATTTGAATGACGTCAAAGCGAAGATGCAGTCTGCGGTCATCGACCAGCAATTCAGCCAATGTGAGCAAGCAATCTTATAAAGTTGTACCAGGGCTATACGTTCATTCCAGTATAGTTTTTGAAGTTCTTCAGCCACATGAACTGCATGTGAAGGACTTGAAATCATCTAAGACTATGTCGGAAATGTTTGGTAAGTTACGGATTGAGCGGCCAAGGGAGACAACGACCGCTGTTTTGCAAATTCCTCGTACAGCGAATGGGAAAATCCGGGAGAAATACCCTTTACTGGCTTGACAGGTTATAAAGACTTCATACCATTTGGGAGGCAAATTTGCCAACGAATGCATTGACCTGTTCAGAAACTCCTGGTGGAACATTTCTGTGGATAAATGGTTAGAATGGAACAAGTCAGCACCTCTCCTGAGTGAAGTAACTGAATGCCGATGAAAGTTGCTCCTTTACGCCCAAAAGCTCCGTGGCCAAATGTGTCTTTGAAAGTCGACTAAAATTACTAACTCACCTCGGTCACTTCAGAGTCCTGCAACGCTATATGACGAATAGTACTAACACATTGCCTTGGTCGCAGAGAGTCAAGAAAACACAAACTTACATTTTTCGGCAATTTTCGACGATTTCAGGAGGGGTATGCGTAAGAAAAGACTTTGCAACGAGAACAAACCAACTGCTGAGCGAATTATCTCAGCACTCCGAACTTATCACCTCTATAAAGAAAATCTTTCACACATCAAAATTAAGACTTTGTGGAAACAACTCTGGAAAAATTAGAGAACAAGCTTATGAAGAGGAAAAATTCAAACAGGAATTAAAATGTATATTTCACAGGTTATATAATACTAGAACAAGGCGATCCGATATGATGGAAAGCAGACAGCCTATTTCTGAGTCTATGTTGTGGATAATGTAGTAAATTTGTAAACGTAACAATAATTCCTACTAGAGTAAGTGCTGTTCTAGGAACTAAGGATGAATAGAATATACTTGGATGCATATAAAATTTAATCGCCGCTGTGTTAACTCCACCGACTATGGTCAGTGCTGAGTATGCTGAGAGTCAAATGAAGGCCTTCCAAGACACAGATCATACCGTAGGACCACATAGTTTGAATTAAGAAAGTACTGCTACGAAAGTTGCGTGGGAAGAAGCTTGAGGAAAACACTTACAAATAACGAGGATCATCCAGCTACAGTGATCGCATTTTGTGCACGCGAGAGGGGCAAGGCTCCAGGGGAAACTAACGACCAATTTCGTGCCAACTTTTAAGTGATCATAATGGTTGACCTTGGACTTAAATATAATTGCTGTTAGGTATATTGTAACGGCCGAATAAACAGAAAAAACCAGTTCCTGGTTTAGTCAACAAGTGATTACTTTTAGAGAACGCGGGGCCGAGTGTTACTTATAGCTCTGGTCAAACCCACTAATCTGCATACCCAACAAATACCGGGTATATTTTATTCTTCATTCGTTTTGTAGGTTATCGCTGTTATCCCTTTATGACACAATTCATTCTTCCATGGGCAACCATTCCACCATTTACCTGCACCTAGGTTTCTATATTGTTAAAATTTTGTTAGTTAACGTGACTCGTTATTTTTCCCGCCACACTTTACATGCTGTTGCTTTCCCAGATGTGCCAAACTTTCGACACAAAACTATCACATTTCCGTGAGATCCTAAAGATGGATACGCCAAAGATTATTTGTTAAATAATTTAAGTTTAGCGTCTCGAGGCAGCCTTTGGCTTGTGAAGAGGAAACAGTCCCTGGCAAGAAAAACACATCGACTCCAATCGACCCCATCTAGTTGGGCACTATAATGTGTTTTATACGCCAACGCCTGCACATTGATGGTTAATTGTGGATTTGGCCGAGTCAATTTGTTCCATAAAATAGTGAAGCTTTTGCAAGTCGGGTAACGACGCTATAGTGAAAGCGGCGAAGCAAAAAATAATCCGGAGTAACTTTCAGTACCGACGTACGTTGAAGTAGAGGACATTGTCAGCCTCCAGAAGTTGTGTGGCACCTATACTAAAGGCGTATTATTCGCACTAAGTCTTGTAGGGTCTATGCAGTCCCGTCGTTCATAGTGTTCTCTCCCAACTGCCGTGGATACGCCCTCTACGCTAGGTATAATGGTGAAAATTGCTCACGAACCTTACAATCACACAGCCCATAGGCAGGAGGTTCGTGAACTG